TCTGTGCAGGCAGAGATCCGAGCCCCGGGTTCCTGACAAGTCCAGTTCAGGGAGTGTGGCGCAGACCCACAGGAACGGTGACCAGCAAGGAGGCGCGGCTCTCTGCCTCTCGGGCCTCTGGGGTCACGTAGGAGAGGGCAAAGCGAGTGCTGTCCATAGCGAGTGAGATTGCAGCCCAGCCGTGGAGGTGGGAGTGGGCGGGGCGGGGGCGGGGCGGGGAGCGGCTCCCTGTGGGCCGATGGTGCTGAGCGCTGTGTTCCAGGTGTGCGGGAAGTCCTTCAACCGCATGTACAACCTGCTGGGCCACATGCACCTGCATGCAGGCAGCAAGCCCTTCAAGTGCCCCTACTGCTCCAGCAAGTTTAACCTCAAGGGAAACCTGAGCCGGCACATGAAGGTCAAGCACGGTGTCATGGACATCGGCCTGGACAGCCAAGGTGGGTGGGCCATGCGCAGTGGACGGAGCAGGAGCGTCCTGTCCAGTTAGGGGAGCGGGAGGCGGGTCAGGCCTGAGACCTCATTGGGGTGGGCTCAGGTCTGGAGAGGGTGTACCCTGGAGGTAGTGATGGGACGTTTATGTATTCTTTGAAGGATTTAAGTGGGCTCACATAAACAATATAATAAAAATAATAACTAACATTTATTGAGCGCTGTGTGCCAGGCCTTTATTAACTCACGTGACCCTCACGGTGAGGTCGGCTCTGTTATTATCACCGTTTTACAAATGCAGAAACTCAGGGACAGAGAAGTTAGGAAACTTGTGCGAGATCACAATACACAGAAGGTGATAGACACTTTATCTCATTACTAGAGATACCACGTAAAATAAACGGATGGGGAAGAAAGTATCAAATGGGACAGTAGCAGCTGGAAAGATAAGGGAGAGCCAAGTGAGGTCACAACTCCAAGTGGACCATGGGAGGTCCGATGGCCATGCAGACAGGAGCTCTGAGCTTCCCAGCAGCCAAGGCAAGGTGATCGTCCTCACGGCCAACGGCTGCCAGTGGCCTTCAGAGCAGTCTGCTTCCTTGTTCGCATCCAGTGGGAGGGTAGGAGCCTGCTCCCCTTTGCTCCAGCACGGCAATGAGAACACTCTCAGGACACCCTAGCAGGCCTTTCCTCATGATTCATTGTCTGGGCCTATTCCTGCACCACACACCGGCAGGGGATGGGGTCCCCCTTAGACTAGTGGTTTTCAGCAGAGGTGTGAGTTAGTCCCCAGGGGACATTTGGCCATGTCTAGAGACATTTTTGTTCGTCTCTAGATGCTCTTGGCATCTAGCTGATCAAGGCCAGGGATGCCGATAAACGTCCTAGTGCACAGGACAACCCTCTCAACAAAGAACTATGGCCCCAAACGTTAATAGGGCCAGGGTTGAAAAACCTGCCTTTGACTTAGCAGGGTGACTCCCAGGCTGGGGTACATTTTACCCCAGAACACATCACGCCCCCTAAGTGCACATGGGGCTTAATCTCAGTCCCTGCTGGCCACCCCCACAAGCCCCCTTCCTCCCTCTGTGACTCACTGGTCGGCAGGCCCAGGCCTCCAACAGTACGAACTTCATAATAAGATGTCAATTTGATACAATTACGGGAGGCCTCTTGGAGTGTTTGCCTCATCCTCCGTGTTAACCTCTGTGTTAACCTCCGTCTTGGAGAGCAAGGACAGGGAGACCACTGGATAGAACTGGCCTCAAACACAAATGCCGGCAGGTCAGAGGAGGAAGGGTCCCTCACTGGCCAGTTGAGGCAGAGCAGCACAGTGGCTGAAGACAGCGGCACTCACTGGGTGCCCTCTGGCAGGCTGATTAACCTCTCTGAACTAACTTTTGATCTCCTAAGTAGGGCTGCTGTGAGCATTTGCAAGGTGATGTAGGTGACATGCCGTGGGTGCTCATGAGTGGTGATGCAGACATGCTACAGCAGCAGGCTTTCATGCGGCAGAGGGATCCATGAGAAACATTCGAGAGAATAAGTGTGACTTAGGAGGGATGACAGAGGCGAGACAGAACGAAGAGGTCAAGGCCGGGCCTGCACCCCCCCCACCCTCCCACGCAGCTCTAGAGTTCGGGTCTGGTGGCCCATCAGAGAAGCCACAGGAGCCTGGGGCCAACCTGAGCAGGAAGGCTGAGAGGCAGCTGGGGAGCCTCTGGAAGCGGTGACTGGGAAGTCTTTTCTTTAGAAAGGTCATCTGCTTCCTGTGTGCAGGTGACAGGCTCTTCCCACCAGGTGGCATCCGGGCCTAACCGTGCCCCTCTCTTGCAGACCCCATGATGGAGCTGACTGGCACCGACCCCTCTGAGCTCGACAGCCAGCAGGAGATGGAGGACTTCGAGGAGAATGCCTATGCCTACGCTGGAGTGGACAGCAGCACCGAGGCCAGTGTCCTCACCGAACAGGCCATGAAAGAGATGGCCTACTACAACGTGCTATAGCACAAGCTGGGCCGCCCAGAATGGGGTGAGGGGGGCCTGGGGCGTGGGGGTGAGACCCATGGGCTGTGGGCTGCACCTCCTGCAGCTGAGAAAAAAGCTACTGCCCCATCGTCCCGAGCCCTCCCCTCCCACTGAGTCATTTGCACCACTAGGGACTTTTAGACCAAATGGACTGTACTACTGGCCTCAGCTGTGAACCAGGCATAGGCTCCAGACGTTCGGGGAAGGAAGGGTAACTCAGAGGCCCAGGTCTGCGTCTCCTCAGCCCGCTGCTGTGGTAGGTGGGGGACATGCTGATGGGGGCCATTTGGCGACAGGTCACAAGGGCACAGGTTCTCAGGTGTCTCCAGGCCCAGCAGAGCTGGGGCAGCCAGTGTGGGCAGGGCCATCCTGATGGCCCTTCAGGGGCCCTGACACTGGAGGAAGAGATCACTTGAGCTAGGCCTTGTTTTTCTTCTGGACCAACTCCTGCCTCTAGGAATGTTCGAGCTACGGTGCTGGTCAGCACTGCCCACCCCCACCCACCAGCCCAGGCCCCAGGGTCACCTTCCCCACCCTGTCGTGGACAGCCAGGCAGGGCCTCTGCCTTCTACCTCCTGGTGCCTCCCACGCTCTGCTGGAGCCAGGCATGCATGCGGTCCAGGTCCTGGCCTGCAGGAAAGCAGGGTGTAGCACAGCCCCCAACTAATGCCCTCCCCAGCCAACCCCCAGACGGCCCCACCTCAAAGCCCTAAGGTGGATTTCAACAAACGTCACGCAGTTCTGTCTTGAGCTGGGACACCCCCCCAGGGTCCCCAATGTGAGCAGAGCCAGGACATGCCTTGCATCGGGCATACACTAACAAAGACAGGTGGAGGCCCCTTGAGCAAGGGGCAGAGTACAGTGAAGATGATCACTGGGGACCAAGAGGGGCTGTCCTCAGAGGAGGCCAAGGACCACCTGTGTGGGGAGAAGCAGGGCTGGAATAGTTTCTTATTTAAAGTATAACAAGTATCCATTCTGAGGATGGGGACAGCCAAGAGTCAGCAGGCTCCCGGGAAGAGCGACATATTTAAAAAGGAAAATGAAGACCATAGAGAAAAACATTTTTTGAGCAAATGGGAGTATTTTGAAGGTAATTTATTATTATTTTTCCTTTCCAACTCTGTGTCACCTATTATCTTTTCTGATGGAGGTCATTTTCTTTTTCCCAAGGGAAGCTTTCTTGTGTGCTGTGTGTGCTTCGTGTCCCCAACATAGAGCGGCCTGGCCAGGCAGGACTCGGGCTCAAAGGGGCTGTCGCTCTGGCCCTGGAGGTCCAGCTGCTGGCGGGAAGCCTCAGGAGGCCAGGGTGAGAGGCAGGAGGAGGCAGCGGGCAGGCCCTTCCACTCCTGCCAGGCCCCTCGCCAGTGACTCGCTCTGCACCGCCCACCAAAGGCCAGGGCCACTGACGCTGCCCAGCCAGCAGCTCTTTCACTTGTCCACTCTCATCCCGTCCCGACGCCGGCTCCTGCGCCCCTGGAACCGAAGGCTGCAGACCCAGGGCAGGGAAATAGCGCATTCAGGAATGGCTGGGGCACCCAGACTCCCACCTACTTGCCTCCTGAGGCCTAAGTAGCGAGGGGCAGGCAGGGCTGTCCCCAAAGGCACAGAAGGAGGTAAAGCCACCCACTTCAGCCCAGAAACCAAGTGATGGTGAAACAGCTGGGAGCAGAGGGGACCAATTTGAAATGCAGCTACCCCCACGGCTGTATCCTTAGTGATGGACCTAGCTAGGCTTCAGGGTGGCTGTGATTAGGACTGAGGGGAGGACAAGGTGGCCTTAGGATCAGGCAGCCAGGTGCCCCTTCCTTCTGTTCTGGAGCTCACACTAAGCAACAAACCAGAGCGCTGGGGCTCACAGGAGCCTCCCCAAGTGTGGCTCTCCAGACCCCAAGCCCCCCACCCCCGAGCCTCCCAGGTGCCCGCCATGATGACCCTCAGGTGGCAGTGACCCCGTCACTGTAGAAGACATTTTCTCCTGCTGAGCAGAAGCATCATCCCCTGCAAACTACCTCTTCCCACAACGTCTTTCTCCCCTGGTACCAAAAAGAACCCTGTACCTCCTCCTCCTCTCTCCTGCCAGCGCCCTGGCCCTGGCCCTGGAAACCGAAGGGGGAAGGTCTGGCCCCGGGGTGGGGCTCTCCTCTCCCCCCCAGCCCCGCCCTCAGCACCGGCCCTCTGCGAGGTTCGATACTTGAATGCCCCTGCCCTGTGCCTTGGACCTGGGCAAAGCTAAGAGAAGGGGACAGCACAACTCACGATTTGAGCTGGGGGGTGGTCTTGGCAAGGCTCCTGTCCTCACCCCTCACCCCAACCTTTTCAAAAGAGGTGTGTGGCCTCTTGGGTGACTTGGAAACTCCTGGATGAACTCCACTCTAACTTATTTTGACGTGTATACAAACCAACTGTTTAGAAATCCCACTTGTGCAAAGCCCTACTGTGTTTTTATGTTCCTGTTTAAAAGAGAAGTTTACTTAGCAATAATTATAAATAAATGAATATTCTTTAGTGAGGCGACTGCGAGTGCTTCTTGGAACCTGGTCCTCTCCCCTCCCCCGGAAGGAACTCCCCCCAAAGCTTCGCAGCCCCACACGACAGGACATCACTCTGCAGAGGCCAGGAGGAGACCCAGGACACCCTTTGCCCTGGAAAGGCCACCTGCAGGGCTAAGCACCTACGGGGAGCTGCTCCAAGCCCAAGAGAGGGGACCAGGCCAAGGCCCCAGAATTCCCACTGCTTGCAGAGAAAAGCTGCTTCCCCTCACCCATCAGGGCACCAGGACAGAAGCCAGCTCCTGATGCCAGACTGGGCTTCAGAGGCCGTGCATTCTGGGGAGCTGCCAGCCCCTTGCTACTGATGGGCAAGAAAGGGTCTTGAACTTCCCCCCAGGAGCTGGGGGTAGCAGAGCCAGCAGACCAACTAACTTTTCTTCCCACAGCCCAGGGAGCTCAGTGTGCTGACCGAGGAAGAACAGTCCTTCCGACAGGAGGGGGCGCCACTGTGAACGGGCGGCCAGAGCCCAGTCTCAAAGCTACTGAGGTTCCCAATTGATGGGGTTCAGGAGCCGGGAGAGTCCCCCACCCAGAATTTGGGAAATGGACTTAGGGTTGCCAAGTATTTATTTTATCAAGTGAATATGATACAACTCTTCCCTCAGGACATTTTAAACACCAAAAGTAGAATATAATCCTTGCGTAAGGGTAGCCCTTTAAATTGGATCGATTTAACTTTAAAGCAACTTTGTAATCTTGCTTTGCTTGTTTTGCTAAAGAATGGAGAAGATGAACCTACGTCTGGGAACCTAGACGACATGGGGGGGACCCCATGCACACTCCCAGAACCCACACCCAGACAGCCGCGAGAGAACCGAGGGGCGGCTGGTGAGTGGGGCCTGTTTTTAGTGCCGACAAAAGGGCGAGGAGCTCTGGAGATGTTTAGACGGTTAAAACCAACCCAGATAAATAAATAAATAAATAAATAAATAAATAACGGATAAAAGAGCGAGGAGCTCTGGAGATGTTTAGAAGGTTAAAACCAACCCAGATAAATATATAAATAAATAAATAGACCTTGAATCTATCGAAAAGTCGATAACCCCAACATGGAGAACACGATACAGGAACCGGATCGTGCTAGGAAATTCCAGGGACCCCACAGGCCTAGGCCCCCAGAGTTGTGGCCGCTCCTCCGGCTGCTCCCGTAGGATGCAGGAGGCCTACCCTGCTCCCCGGGCCGCTATCCCATGGTGGGGGCCCCCTGACTGGATGGAGCTGGGACAGGCCTGTCGGGGCCTGTCACTCCAGTCTGCCCCTGGTGGAGCCCCCCAGCCCTCTGAGGGTCTCTGCCTCTAAACCCCAGCTGCCTCCTTCCCCTGAGGGACAAACACAGCAGACGGTTTTGTGAAGAGATTTTAGTAGCTAAATATGGCACCATGTGTTCCAAGAGCGATATAAATTACAGTATGCAAAACATACTGACTGACTGAGGTAAAACACACTGTTCCTGCCTCGCGTTGCCGTGAGGGGAAACTCAGAGATACTTTTAAAAACATCTTGCTTATAAAAAATGTCCCCTAGAAAGGCCCCTGAGGGCTGCGAGGCTCACCCTCCGCCGCCTGTGCGAGGACCTGCGTCCATCCAGCAGCCGGGCAGCACTCCCCGCCCCTCCTGCTAGCCCAGGGCCTTGTCCAGGTTGTTCTTGATGGTGTCCAGGAAGTCCGTGGTGTTCAGGAAGTGCTCATTCAGCTTCACGCTGCCGAGAGAACATGCGTGTGTAAGGGACAGAGCCCGAGCTTGGGCATCTTAGTGGCAGCCCTCTCTCCTGCCCCTGTAGGGAGGGGCGCGGCCAGGCTACGGGTCACAGGTTACCTGTAGCCCACT